GCAGTTTTTGAGAGAACAGGTTATCCGATTAGATTAATTTAAAAAAATTATTCAAATTTTCAAAATTCTTCAACCTCTTCAAAAAAAAAATCTAAATTTTTAAAAATTTAAAAAAACATCAAAATTTAAAACAAAATCGATTTCTTGCAATAATTTGAGAATATTTTGCAATTTTTTTAAAAAAATCAAATATTTATAGAAATTTAAAAAAAAATATTTTTTCCAAAAATTCCAAGAAAAATATTTTAATATCGTTCAAGATCATTTTGAAAATTTTTGAAAACTACTTTCGTCTATTACAATAAACTCTCAGCTCCCTTATGTAGAGTCTGAGTCTGACAAAAATTATTGTTGCTGTCGTTTTTCTCTCATTTTTTTTAATATTTTTTATCCGTTTGATAATTTTTATACTAAAACTTACGTAAAATTCCAAGGTAATACTTTTAATGAAAGCTCAAGTGGAAATTTAATATTATACTGCTTAATATCGAGATACCTGGGGTTGGGTTTACCTCCGACTCTAGTTCGTGCTAGCCCACGTTCCTGACCACTACACCACGACGGACTTTATAATTCACCAACATTACAACAGTATTTCATCACAAAAGGCAACTACTGTTCTCTCTATAATAGAACGACAAATTTAATTTGAAACAAAATCTCTCTAACGAATCTGTTGTGGAACTGTGTTTATTTAGAATCCTTGAAAACTGATTATTTTGAAGCTTCGCTTTTGATACTGAGGTGCACGTGTGTGAACCTAAAACAACTTGTCAATTTGCTAATATTGAATTAATCATAATCTTCATAAGCCAACAGCCGAATGCCAATTAATTATGAGTTATTATCGAGCCAATAATGGACTCAGGACATGTGGGGAACAAGTTATTTATGGAAAGGTATACGAGGTGTGTTCAAAAAGTACCCGGAATTACTAATAATTAAATTTCGCGGGTCTGGAGTGTCTGATTGTCAATTTTTTTTTTTATTGTGTTGATATACATGCCCCTAAAGTATGATGAAATTTTCAGCTATATTCACTGTTTACTTTGTCTGTGGTAGTCGCTAAGGTTCGACGTGTTTTTCTGAGCTCGGCGATTTTTACAATGGAAGAATTGAAAAGTCAAAGAATTTGTATTAAATTTTGCGTAAAAAATGAAATAAAGTGTTGCAAAGTGCAAAAATTCACCAGATATGGCTCCGTGTGACTTTTTCCTATTCCCAAAGTTGAAGAGACCCATGAAAGGACGGCGGTTTTCCTCGATTGAAGAAAATCGCTGAGAGTGCTCAAGGACATATCAAAAAGTGAATATCAAGGGTGCTTCGAAAATTGGAAAAAACGCTGGCATAAGTGTATTATATCTGGGGGGGACTACTTTGAAGGGGACCACATTAATGTAGACGAATAAATAAATATTTTTTTGAAAAAACGAAAATTCCGGGTACTTTTTGAACAGACCTCGTATGTAATATGAAACTATGTATGAATAAATGCTGGAAACAATTCTGCCGCAAACAGAAAAATGTTATGGCAAGGCCATGTTACGCTCCAACTTTCACACATGCTACTGAATACTGTCAAAATGTCATGTATTTGCTGTGCATTCAGGCGTTTTACACTTCTGCCGCAAACAGAAAAATGTTATGGCAAGGCCATGTTACGCTCCAACTTTCACACATGCTACTGAATACTGTCAAAATGTCATGTATTTGCTGTGCATTCGTCAGCAAACTGCAACGTCACTTGTATGTTATGAAGCTGGGTCAGAAATGCCCTGTTATCTAAGATCGTTTTTTTGACATTTGTGCGGTTTCTGGGTTAGATTTTCTATCTGACAACCTGAGAAATACGCCTGACAGCACAACAACCACTTTGCTTTTGTCAATGTTTTGTATGGAAAGTTCTTCATAACATGGCCTTGCTATAATTTTTCTGTTATGCGGTAGAATCGGTCCCACAGGCCAGCAAATAAAATTAGCAATGAATTAACGAAATAGGCTTAAAATTCATTTTAAAAAAAATCGGATAAAAGTAAAAAAGAGATTTGCTGTCCTGTGAAATTTTAATGCTTTTTTATCAACAACCCCTAATACAAAATCACCGCTAGAAAACCGTTTCTGCAAGTTTCAACCAAATGAAATGAAAAGCTTTATCAATTAAATTTGTAGCATTAAATATCTTTTATGATTATTTATAAATTACTCAAAGAACTGCGCATTTATAATTTCCAATAATAAATTATAGTATAGTTTTCTGATTTTTTCTTTTTTTCTCTTAGAGGTGACATCGTTGAATGAGTAATTGATTTTATAATCGGCGCACTTTGTTACAAAAGAGACACTAATTAAAATATAAAAAGATTACGGTGAGACTTTATTAATTATTCTTCGAAAATGTTGATTTTTTTTCATAACAAAATTACAAGACAGGAAAAATTAAAACGCAATTATGAATCAATATAATATACAAAGAAAACTTCAATCGTAATTTATTATTTAAATGATATATAGATATTTGAAAAAAAAACTACATTGTTCAAAACGTACAAAACCATAGGCCTGAAGAATATATCACTGTTTTCTTTAATTATTAGTATCACTAGTTAAATTATTAATTTATTTTGTGTAACATTCTTTGATATATAATATTATTTACGATTTTGGTTTTTGTTTGCCTTAATTCTGTATTTTAATCTAAATAAATCTGGCCATCTAATTTTTATACAATCTGACAATTTCATACAATTTTTGTAAAAAAAAAAACAGCGATCGGTCCAGACATTTGGCACTATGTACTAATGAAGTGAAATAATTGGGTTCCTTATTTATTTGATAAATTATAGAAATAATTAAAAATTAACCCTTTATTCTAAAGATGGGTTAAAGTGGTCACAAACTCTAATAATTTTGAACTTTCATTCCTAATTTCACGAAAATTAAAAGAGCTTTCTTTCTGCATGTCTTGTATTTCTATACAAAAAATATTTTTTTAATGAATAACTTTTTGACAAGTGACTCGACTCTAATTGAAGTAGAAATACTATAAGATATTTCTTATTATATAGATGAGCAAGATATTTCTTATTAGAGTTAATTATGATGAAAATTATTATGAAAAAAATGTACAGAACTTTACACAGTGTTTAAAACCAGAAAACCTACCGAAAAGGATTAATAAATTAGAAAAATATTACAAAACAGTTTTGTCATTCTAATTAAAAAAACGTGATTTTTTTTAAAAAAGTCTGATGTTTTTAACATTCTTAAATATTATTTGTGATTTATAATTATTGAAAAAAAAAAATTTTTTAAATATTTTTAAATTAAACATTGGCAGGCCACAAGTTTTTGTCCTAGATTGGACATAAAAAATACAGTCAACCTACCAATAGACGTACTGAAACAATATAAAATAAAAAGCAAAGTAAACCTTCATATAATTATTCAAATATATTTCTTATAAACAACATAACCAAAAAAGAAACAAACATGTCACAAACGTGTTACTGTAATCATTCATACCAATAACTTAATATAGAATTATTAATCATCAAAGGTAGTATTGCAAAATTCCATATAATTATACACACCTTTTCCTACAAGCAACATAACCTAAAAAATAAATACCACATCACTAATTATTTACACCTGCCACTGGATTTTGAATCAGTATTTATCTAGCATTCTTTCTCTAAGTAATTGAAGTAAAGGTAGTATTGCAAAATTTCATATAATTATACACACCTATTTCTTACAAGCAACATAACCTAAAAATTAAATACAACATCACTTACGTGTCACTTATTATTTACACCTGCAACTTGATTTCGAATCAGTATTTATCTAGCATTTTTTATCCTAGTAATCGAAGTAAAGGTAGTATTGCAAAATTTTGTATAATTATACACACTTATTTCTTACAAGCACCTTAAACTAAAAGTAAATACTACATCACATACCCGTCACATTATGCTATAATTTACACGAGCAAGTTGAGGCCAAGTATTTATCACGAATGCAAAATTTTATATAATTATGCACTTTTATTTCTTACAAGTAACATAACCTAAAAATTAATGCAATCTTGAAATAATCAAATCTAATTTGTCCTAAATACTAAACTTAATGAGAAATTGCTTATATTTAACTTCCCAAACAATCGACATTGCTTTCAGCATTTTTAATATATTAATCAAACATTTTAAAAAGAAATCCTTACCGCTGCCACCAAAATCTTGGGAAGTTTGTTACTGTCAGCAAGTAGTACAAGATGTTATCCCAAAATATTACGATTCTGCATAAATCTTATGTGGATTAATGATGTTTAGCTTTCCGACCTATGGGTCCTGTTATTTGTTAAATTTTTCTAGGACTATTTGCTTGAAATTAAATACAAATTTTCAAATATTTTACCTTTCATTTACCTTTAATTACAAAAATCACTCGGGGACGACAAACTTCCCAACAAATTATTCGCACCTATTTCAGACAAGCAACAGTATTTATTTCGTATCTTTCCTCAAAATAATTGAAGTGAAGGAAGTATTGCAAAATTTCATATAATATTGCACACCTATTTCACTGTAATGTCACTGATCATTCCACCAGCAATTTTATTTCGAATCTGTATTTATCATTCATCTAGAAAAAATCCCTACCGCTGCCACCATAATGTTGGGAAATTCGCCGTTCTCAGCAAGTTTCTCGGCATCCCGGTCTCCAGCAAGTTATTTGTTGTCTCTCGGAATTAAATATAGTTCAAACACAATATTCACAATACTTCAACGTTTACTAAATTTTATTATTCATAATATTCAAGGATAACAACTAATTGCCCAACAAATAATACACACCTACTCCTTACAAGCAACATAACCTAAAAATAAACACAATCTCACATACGTGTAACTTTGATCATTTACACCAGCAACTTGATTTCGGATCAGTATTTATCCTGTATCCTTTCTCGAAGTAATCCTTTCTCTGTACCAATGTTTTAGGAACAAATCGAACCAGCGATGGATGAAATTGCGAACAACTGTTCAGCTAACATCTGCAATACAGACGATACAAAAGAAGCCTCCTTTGAAACGAGAAGATTCCTTCCTCAAACGATTCTCCACTAGACAGATTCCGGAAACTCAGGAGACGGTTGAAGACACGGGTAAGATGTTGGAAATAAAATAAATTGTTGAGGATGTAGTGCGATTTGAGTTTTACTCATATTTCACATACTATTTTTATTAGCTTCCTGTAAGGTATGTTATAGTAATTGCAATAGAATCTAAAATGAAAATGTTTATATATCTACGTTTCAAAAGTTTCTGAACATTTTGGCAATTCTTATAAAAAAAAGAATTGTATGTGTATGTGTATGTATGTGCGGATACATTTTTTATTGACGATTTCGTGAACACTGACCAACCGATTTGAATGATTTAAAAAACATTCGATATCTATTGATAAGGGGACGTGCTGATTAGTTTTTGCCAAAGGCAGGTCTAGCCGTTTTAAAGATACGGGGCAAACAGTGTCAAATATGGCGAATCAGTTTTTGAGAGAACGGAACGTCCTACTTTAATAATTCAAAAACTTTTTGAGGCAGGTCTAGCAGTTTTGAAGATCCAATGAAAAAAGTATAAACTAGTGGGGCGCATGGCATCGTGCCTTAAGGCAAATTGCTGGTACTTCCTGTACCAAAAATTATTTGTTTTTCAAAAGATTAACCTTTTTGAAAAAAAGTTACTCTGAAAAAATTAGATTTTTGAGAAACTATAAATTTTGGTAAAAAATTTACTTTTTTTGAAAAAAAAAGATTTTTTGAAGTAAAATTTATTTTGAAATATTTTGGAAATTCTGAACTTTTTTCAAAGCCAATCGTACTGCTTTAACTGCATAAAGACAAAATATCGAAGCGCCTAAGCGCCGCGCCGCCCTCTAACGGATAAATATTGGTACGGAACCCATAGGAATGTAAACAAAATTTATATTTATTGTTAAAATCTCTATAAAATATTTGATAATTTGATTTGCATATGTCTAATGATCATTTTTGACCGCCAATGGGATTTTTTTTTACTTTTTTTACTAGATCTCGCAAACCGCTAGATCTGCCTTCATGAAAATTTGATCAGTTCTTCATCTTGTTAATACAAGAAAATGTTTTTTGAATTATTAAAATTGCTTCATCCGTGTTCCCGGAATCGTCGATGAAAATTTGTATCCGCACACACACACATTCACGCACACACACACATACATCCAATTTTTCTAAGGTATGCTAACATGTTCAGAAGGTTTTAAAACGTAAAGATATATAAAAATTTTAATTTTCGAATTTTTTGCGATTACCTACGGGAAGTTAGACAAATTAATCATTAGACATATACACATCAGTTTATCAGATATTTAGAGATTTTGTTTACATTTCTATGAGTTTCGTACCAATTTTTATCCTTTGATACTTCGACTCTAAAAAAGTTTAAAATGTTCAGAAATTTCAAAATATTTCAAATTTAGAAAAAAGTCAAATTGCACCACTAGTCTAGTTTATTCATATATTATTTCAATTATGTATTTAACTTCCTGAAGAAATTTCCATTTGAAAGTAACATTTGATGATTTTGTGTTTTTTCGATGCCTCATGTCATTCTGATTCCTTTGAGACCGAAATTGTAAGCGTTTTTGTACATTTTAAATATTAAGTTTATTTGAAAGCTATAAATTGAAATAGGAATTTAGTAGAAGCTAAATCTTTATTTTCGAAATAAGAAATTGTTTTTTTTTTCTAAGTATTTTAATCTCACTTTTTATTGAAGTTTATGCAATTAAAGTAGAGTGCCACTTACACCTAGTTACTTGTTAAATTACTATCATATACACTACTAGTTGTTATGAAACAACTTTAGTAATTTATTTTAATTATAGACTTAAGATTATAAATCTAAATCGAATATTGTATTTAATAACAATAATTATTCATTAGTGTTACGTTTGGATCTTTTTTAAATGCCTAAAAAAGTTTGTTTTAGCCAAAAAATCTTCATATTAGATAAAGAATATCCAGCCATAGTCTGGAGTATAGGTAAATCATTATTTTAGATCTTCATAAAAACGCTCGTTACTACTTACCCCTCTCACTATAAGCCTTTAGTTTCTCTGTACTTTTTATATCTTTTATTTTTCATATTTATTTTATTTGGTATTTATGCAAATGGAATACTTTTGTACAAATCAATTTTTTATATTCCATGAATTATGAAATCACGAAATGAAATATAATAAAAATCAGTTAAAAACTAGATATAATATATTATTATTCTTGTTACTACTTACCCCTCTCACTTTAAGCCCTTAGTTTCTCTATACTTTTCATATCTTTTTATTCTTTATATTTATTTTATTTAGTATTTGTGCAATTTGAATACATTTGTACAAGTAATGATTTTATATTCTATAAGTTATACAATCACGAAATGAAATATAATAAACATTAGTTAAAAACTGGATATAATATATTATTCATTATTAGAGTTGTCACATAAAAGATGACGCACGTTTGAGTTTTAACAAGTAATCTGTAAAACAATTTGAAAAAAAATTACTTTCTTACTTCATTTTACAAATGATAAATAGTGCGAAGTAGGAGATTTTTAAGAGAAAAATGTCAAATTCTTTCTTATTTTTCAGGGTCAGAGGGAAACACAGGTGATCTTCAAAAGCCCCAAAGACGTAGAAGACGTGTCCAAAAGTCTCCTCGATCTGTGGTTAATCCGGATGAAAACTTCTATTTTTATTGGTTGATGTTACTGACCATTTGCGTCCTTTACAATTTATGGGCTCTCATCGTTCGCCAGAGCTTTCCTGAATTACAGGTAAAAAAATTACATCAAATAATTAAAACTACTATGGTTTTGCATTGTGCTCTAAGACAAATTGTAGAAAATTCAAGTTCTGAACATTCAGATTAGTATCATGTAATATAAATAGTTGGTATTGGTATTTTGCCTTGAGGCAAGTTACATGAACTTCCCCATATGTGTAAATAATCGACTTAATCAATAAAAAATAAATTAATTTATGAGTGATTAAAAGTATTACGAGTGGATTTATTACACATATTTGAAAAACGAACGAACACGTTGACTCGGAGTATTTTCTAAAAGCCAATTTTCAAAAATTAATAATTTTTATAATTGAACCAGTTTCCGTAATGGTTTAGTATGTTCATTAAGACCAAGTACTCCATCGATATATCAAGTAAATCGTCTAATTTTAATTTTAACAAACGTCAGAAAAACTACTCATTTTCTCAAACTTTGACGAATTTTTACAATTAAACTACTTGTCGTAAGGCTGTAATATTTCAGTAAGATCTATAAGACCATGATATATTATATTATCATTATATCGCCAAAAAAAGTTCCATAAAAATTGGCATAAATTTTTTTTCAACAGTTAACTATAAGTAAACGGGAGTGTTCTACGATTGTTTCACAGTCCCCTTCTATCATTTGTTATAAAATGGAAAACATATGAGGACTAGCAGTCCATGTAGTATAAGGGCTATGTCCTTTCTTCATATAAATTCATAGTAAAACGATATTAAACCTAACTTCGAAAACGCACAAACGTCAAAAAAAAATGTTTTCATGTGTTATGATAACACGTACGTGAAGTTAGGTTTTAAGCGTAAAAGCACGAGTGGAACTTATTATATTTATAGAATTCTGGTTGTGTTTCGAAAATGATTACAATAGTACTTACCTCTTTATTCAACAAATTTTCAGATTCTTTTTAGATGCGCCAAATCCAGAAATTTTTCCTTTCCTTTTCGGCCATGGTATGAATTTTGCCCTTATCAGTTTTTTTCTGGTGACTCCGTTTCCCTCGACTTGGTTCGATAAATCCTGTAGCACCCAGACTTCTATTGTGAAAAGTTCGAAATAATCGAAATAAATCTCTCCAATTATTATATACAGTTTCATTTGAAAATTCTTCATCAAATTAGCAGTAATTTAAATTACGGTGTATTTGAAACCAAAACCGAATTGGTTCTATTCAGAAGTGCACTTATTTTTGTTTTACGTTCGATCTATTGGCTATATTGATTTCGATTATCAAAATGACGCAATACATTTTGTTTCATGGATGTATTGATCCTTATGAAATGAAATTAAACTAGTGGTGCATGGCATCGTGCCTTAAGGCAAATTGCAGGAACTTTCTGTATCGTATTGGAATATTCGAGAAATTTTAAATGTTTTTTTTTTTTTTGAATTTGGACATTTGGACAAGTTAATTATTCTTCTCACAGTCAACACAAGCAATTAGATTTTCTTGAATTAGATGATTAGTTCTCGTAACTTCTATTTTTAACTTCCGTAGGACAAGTTATAGTAATTGCAAAAAAATCGAAAATGAAAATTTTTTATATCTTTACGTTTCAAAACCTTCTGAACATTTTGGCATACCTTAGAAAAATGGATGTATGTGTGTGTGCGTGTATGTATGTATGTTCGGATACAAATTTTCGTCGACAATTTTGGGAACACGGATCAACCGATTTGAAAAATTCAAAAAACATTCGATTCGTATTGATAAGGAGACGAGCTGATTGGTTTTTGGCGAAGGCAGGTCTAGCCGTTCCGAAGATACGGGGCAAAAAGTGCCGAAAACGGTAACTCAGTATTTAAGAGAACGGAATTCAAAAAACATTTTATTTGTATTGACTAAATGAATAACTGTTTAAATTTTTAGAAAGACAGGTGCAACGGCTTCGGAGATATGGAGGAAAAAGTAAAAAAATGAGCCATTTGGCGGTCAAAATAATCATTAATGACATATGTACATCAAATTATCAGATATTTTATAGAGATTTTAACAATAAGTATAAATTTTGTTTGCATTCCTATCGGTTCCGTACCAATGCTTATCCATTACACGGCGACGCGGCGCTTACGCGCTTTGATATTTCGTCTCTTGCAGTTAAAGCAGTACGATTGCTTTGAAAAAAAAATCAGAATTTCCAAAATATGTCAAAATGAAGAACATTTTTTTCAAAAAATTTTTTTTTTCAAAAGAGTAATTTTTGTCAAATTCCTAGTTTGTCAAAAATCCAATTTTTTAGAAGTGAAATTTTTTCAAAATGTTAATCGTTTTTTTTTCAAAGCTTAAGTTTGGTGTCATTTGTTATATCACGTATGATATAATATATATATATTATATATATATATATATATATGCATGTATTGCGTGAGTCATACCAAGAATCCTAATCTATAATTTTCATAAAATTAGACTCAAACACTTTGGCCCAGTTCGCAAAATTTTATTTTATGATTGGCTTGCCAAAACATTACTTCTATCCGATGGCCATATGAAGGGTA